AACAGATGATTGCAGTACGTTATATCGTCTTATTGTGCGAAAATGGTCAGTACCTGAATCAGCCGTTAAACTGTGGTATGGAGTATTTGGCGGTGGTGCAAAAAAACAGCTAGCAGCTACTTCAGAAGCAACATCAGCGATCCTCATTATGTCTAGCCAAGCACGTAAGTTTAATCAACAAAATGTTATTTTTTTTATAGATGAATGGTATCATTTCAATAGTAGATGGTATCATTTCATCGCCAAGATTTGAGGATAAACGTTCAAATGCATTTATAACAACATCTGGGTGGATGAAGGCTAATGCGGCGGCAATCTTGGGAATATTATGTGCAAATATAGGGTCGTTTTGATATTGAGTTTGATAACCAAGTGACTAAATATTATTATCAACGGATAAGATTAAGAATGGAAGTTCATATTTAATACTCACTTGAATTTGACGATGGATACTTTGTCTTAAATGAAAATAACATCCAGACAGGGCAATATGGGGAAAACTGGCATCCAAAACATTAATACATGCTTGTTCAAAATCAAGCATAAAGCATAAATGATCGAGGATACCAGTGTGGTGCAAATTCAACTATTTGGTTTATTAAACGTTCATATGTTACAGCATTTTTCCGACGTAATAGTGCATAAAGCACGAGGACAACGTGACCACGATGTATACCGAACAATATATAACTGGTAGAAAATTTCTGGAACAACCTAAAGCGATTATAGAAATACAAATAATCGAATATGCATCGTATAATACATGCTTGTTCAAAGAACAATCAATAATAATAAGCATCTTTATTATTTAAATAAAGAATAAGCTGCTTGGCATACCTTGAATGTCCCATCAACAAGAAAATCATCCACTGACTGTAAAATATCAAGCTGTTCTGTACTACCAAATTCATCGCCTATGGTATCAACATAAAAAATATCATAAGAAAATACATTATATGATAGATTCAGATGCCTTACCAGCCCCCGTATCACAACGTAAAAAAGTTTAGCACAGTGTTGTATTGTTGAATATCAGTGCTAATGACTGTCGACAGACATAAAGAGTCATGGATCTTACAACATTGATTCCTTGAAAAATTCTAAATAAAGCAAAAGCTTCTCACATACTTCATATTACGAGTAACTGACTAATTCGAGTTCGAATATAACTACGATTTTGCGAATTGTGGTATAGACTTTACTGTAAAAGTTTAGAAAAAAAAATTTTTCGTTCAAGTTCAAATTCGGATACATCATAGTTCCTTAATGTTCGGATTCGAATTCGGACACATCATAGTTCGAATTCGAATTGTGGTATACACTTTACTGTAAAAGTTTAGAAAAGAAAATTTTTTCATTCAAGTTCGAATTCGAATTGCGATCTACACTTTACTGTAAAAGTTTAGAAAAAAAATTTTCCTTCATGTTCGGATTCGAATTACGATACATCATAGTTCGAATTCGAATTGCGATTTACACTTTACTGTAAAAGTTCAGAAAAAAAAATTTCCTTCATGTTCGGATTCGAATTACGATACATCATAGTTCGAATTCGAAGTGTGGTATACACTTTACTGTAAAAGTTTAGAAAAAAAAATTTTCCTTCATGTTCGGATTCGAACTGGGATTCTACCAGAAATCGAACTCGAATTGAGATGAATACTTTACTGTAAAAGTTTGGAAAAAATAAAAGTTTTGTGCAGAGTTTGAATTCGAATTGTGATTCTACCAAATATCGAATCCGGATTGGGAGGAATTCTTAACTGTAACTGTTTCGAAATAAAAAGTTTTTTGTCGAACTTCGAATTGGAACTGGGATTCTGCAAGATATCGAATTTAAATTCTTGTTCAGTTTGATTTCGGACCGGATGTGTGTTAGTTGCTTACTCTCAGCCACCCGACTCTCCTCCCGGACCGGCTCGACATTGTATGAAAATGTTCTTTGTTTATGGAGCAAATATCAACTGAATATGTGTTGAGTGGTAGTGAGGTCATTGATGAGGATTCATAGCAAATTCCTCTTGAGGACATATTTGATTATTTATTTAGTTTACTTTAATTTAATCAATTTGCGCTCCAGAATCTTCGTAAAGTATCCAAATAAAAGATTACCCTACAGAATATACATCACCCAGCAAAGTCTACTTAAAGAAAGTTCTAAAATCTGGTTTGATCAAAACACCATCACTGTTGACACCATTAGAACTTAGGGTACAAATGTTTTGTAAATTCGGGTGAAACACTATAATTC